TTGAGGCATTTAAAACTGTGGAAACATAAAATAACATATTTAATATCATCCAAACATAGTGCATGCCAACAATGGATGATAACATATTCATCTAATTAACATGGGTTAAATTAGATAGTCCGTAATTAGAGTCAAAACCAAATGAACATTATTACGGTAAAAGCCTAGATGCATTATTATAAAGTCACATTTGGGCTGACAATATAACACGCTTTAAGGTACTCTTAAAACACATAATGAAGTTAGTTAACAAAACATATTTGTTTTTGAAATACCAACACCTATGGGCAGAAGGAGATTTCTAAACCAAGTAATCTCGTTAACTGTCTTATGCCAATTTTCAAAAATATCACATATAATAACACCTTGTGCAAGATACTATGAGCTTGTCTGGCAGTGCTTGTTTTACAGATTTTAAGCAAATTTCCAACCGTTACAAAAGGGTTAGCAGCAAGTTTTATTTTTTTGTTTCACAATGGGGGCCAACTTGTTGTAGCCCAACGGTCAAAAAATGAATTATTTGGCTCCAACAATTTCTCCAAGACACGCTCTGTATAAATAATTCAAAATTACGATACTAATGTCAATTTTTTTTTTTTGAAGAAAACCAAATAAATAAAAATGAGTGTGCCACTTTGGCAACTACCACCCCACTTTTATTTCAAAATATTTCTCATAATGGGAGCACTAAAATAGACTTGAAGTCCAGTAAAAATTTAACAATAATAATCACAATCATTAAACGACGAAAAGTAAAAAAAATAAAAAATAAAAAAATCATGTGCGAATATGAGACGAAATTGGCAACTAAATTTCAATATATGAAAATAAAATTTAAATGGACAAATAATGACGACGTTCAAATATTTTAACAAAAATTAAAGTCAATTTTAAATATAATTTTAATTTTAGGTCAAAATTGAAAAGTATTTGGATCAAATTTAAAAATCCCATTTAAAAATTCAAATTTAATATTTCAAAATTGCAAAATTGACCCTAAAACTAAAATTATGAAAAAGGCCTCAAAATTTAGAAATTACATAACAGGTCCTTATCCTTAAATTTCAGATTGACCCTTAGTTAAATTGCAGGAGAAGCCCCCTAAAAAATCCATAAATTTCAGGAGGAGCCCTTGATGGTTAATTGCAAGAAAATGGCTCACTTTATCATAATTGCACGTAAGCCTCCGTCTCCAAACCTTTCACCCAAAACTGAAAAATCCTAGGAAAACCACAAAATAAGGATGCCGCCGGCAACTAGTGCCAGATCATCGCTATTGTCACACAGCACTCGCCGTCTACCGCTATAGCAGCGTGAAGTCGTGTTGCCATGTGCTTCCGCATGTTGCACGTTGCTTCCCGGGGTGTGCGCGGGCTGCCGTTGCCTATTGAAAACCCATCAAATTCTTCCCAATTGCAATCAAAATCTGTGGTGCTTAGAATACATACAAACATACATACACTAAGCAACAATATATTCACACACAATCATACAAATCAAATCAAGAGAAATCCAGATGCTAATACACATAGATGGCGAGGCAGGTGGAAGACAAATATACAAACCAAAAAACAAATTCACAACCATTCATGTCCAATTATGCACGTGGGCAGTTTTTATTTTGGTTATACACACATATATGCCCACAGAGAGAGGATAATAGACTATTTGCTAACTGGATTCATCTACATCCCAGCCACTGGCACCCCGAGTATGACTGTTGATGGCATTTATGCAACTAATATATCCCTCACTGGAGGAAAGCATATAATTTGGCAATTTGCTCTCAACCAGGTTTAATAAGTCATCCCAAGAAGCCGAATGGTCCACAGTATCATTATTAGAGAAGCTGCAGTTTTGTTTTTATCTATTGAATATGTATGTGAGAGAGAAGAGACAGAACCTTTAAAATCAATTTAATTTTTGTTTAAAAGATTCTAATCTTAGTATGCCTGCTCTTTATAATTATTCAATAATCATGCTAAGAACAAGAATCACATATATTAATTAATAGTCCGAAATTCATACTTGCGAAAGACATTGTTATGTATGAATATTACCAGCTAGATCTTCCTCTCCTTGCTCCTCAAAATAATCGGCCGTCAATGGGACAAACCAAAACAATGTGGAGAGGGGAGGAGACCTAGCCATTATATAGGGAATCATAAAGTCGGTCCATTACCGACTCTAACCCTAATTAGGGTTTACATAATTCCGGTCCACATACTTAAAGTTACGACATTATAATAATATAGCCCGTAAGGTGCACAACGACCTAAGTGATCACTAATATATTGGGCCTAATCACAGCATCATTGTAAACCATACATTTAACTCGTAAAGTTCGCAATCAAATGGAAGCCCACATAATAGAATTAATCTAACACATTAAACCTAGGAGTGATTTATTCTCCGGGCACCCATAAATATCATGATCTTGGAAGCTCATTGGTTGAAAATTTGAATATAGTTTTGGGTTTGCTTGTCATGAAGAAAGATTACGGTGTGCCTCATATTCCATAAACTCTGAGACTGATGATGAAAATTAGAAACACCAAGTGGGACCCATGTTCCGAAAACTCAGATACCGGAAGAGAGAGCGGGAAAAACTCTCATCTCATGTGTTTGCAACTTAGAAAGAGAAATGAAGAGCATAGCTTAGACTCTACCTCAGGCACCTTTACCAGAAATAGATGTTAGCAGAATGTCTGATGCTAACTTCCTTTATGTGTCTCCTCGATTGTCTAACATCAATCGTAGCTTGTCCAGAACAACAGCAAAATGTTGGATATCCTGCTTAGTCTCCATCAAAGCGTGAGTGCTGGCTTTGCAACGGAGTTGCTAATCAGGAACCACGATATTAAGAGAGAAGCCTTAAATATAGTTTCCAGTCTCTTGATGGCCAGCCAGTTAACAGAAAATGAGTTGTTCTTGATTTTGACTGTTGGTCCTAGAACCCGAAAGGTGAAGGAACACCATGGAGGTTCCACAACCATAAGTGAGCAGAACTTTGTTGGACATCCACCTTTGAATGGAACACTGTTGGCTGTGGGGGTAGGGGTGAGGTGAAATGGCTCAATGACTCGAAGGGTGCAAAATTATACTGGACAATGTCTTATTTCGTCTAATCTTGATTAAGGGATTCCCTATCCTGACATAGTGATAGATTACGAACAAGTGATAACTTGATGCTAGTACACTGAACATCAACTTTTAGGAGGATCGGAGGCATGGGTTATAAAATATGTTTCTCCATTTAGATAAGATATGGAGCATAAATATTAAAATAGCTTTTAGGTTTCAGAATTATGACTTCTCATTTAATAGTCAGTCCACTATTGAGCATATAGGAATGCTTAGTGCCCAATGCGTTGAGGTATGTTGCATTGATTTCTTAAACACTTGGTGAATCAGTTGAGGAATACATTTGTGCTTTCAGAAATTCAGGCACATATCTAGATTACCAATGTTGTAAGCTAACTTGGCACAAGGTGGGCTTGACTTCAATATCATAAAGACGCTGGTAAGCCCTGGAATTTAGTAAAAAATGACATTTTAGGGTTAAATTTGAAAACTGCACTGCTGCGTTACAAAATTTAAGGTTTGGACTTCAGCGTCTGGAGATCTTGGAAACATAATGAGCTTCAAATAATTTTTCTGTTCTCTTTTTCCCCAGAAACTGAGCGTGCCTACGTCATTATCGAGGGTAGTCACCGGGAACTATCATAAATTTCTGATTGTACAGTTTCTAAGATCAGACAATCTTGGGAGCCTTCAGATTAATGAATTATGTCTATTCAAAGCTCGAGCGAAATACTTTCTAATAGTCCTTATTATGCTTCTTGGAATGAATGATTTGAACACTGCCACATGATTATCCAGTTGCTTTACGTAAGTTGCTATATAAGCGAAGACTCAGCATGAATCCAAGAATTTTTATTAACTTGCTTGTAGTCATACTTTTGCTTTAAAGTACTAATGCATTCCTAGAGACATCCGTTTAGGATATGGAAGGATACTGACATCCTTATTGTGTATACCGGCACATAAGGTTTTAGGTTTTGTATGACACATCCTTCCCCAGTGTGTGTGATTATTTTGTTACCAAGGGCGGCCACGGGGACAGATTGGAACACATCAACTAAGGTATCATATTATACCTGCTGCTAATGGAATGCAATACAATACATTTCCTGTGTGTCAAAGATGTATTGAAGTATGCTTCCTGTTTCTGTTTTCAACAACAAATTATAGTTTCTCAATTTGATGAGGTAAAAATCAAAGTTTGAATTCTTGTGCTGGTCATTATCTTGCATATAATTATACCTAGACTTGAAAATTTTGTGTATTATTGACCACCGCAAAAAAAAAAAAAAAGGCATATAGAACAATCTTTTCAAAAATTTGTGTTAAGACATACTGATATATGGCTATCCATTACGTGTTTTAGCATTTTCTTGCTTTTAAATCCCCTGTAGGTTAAGAGACTAGCATTTTCTACCAGTGCCATTTCCAACCTATTGCCTATGCCCGATGCCAACTGGGCTGCTTAACTTGTCTTTACCTGACAGGTTGATATTATTGGTGTTGGATGTTATTCTTCGAAAGATTTATGGACATGGAAAAGTGAAGGTATTGTGCTTGCGGCAGAAGAGAAAGATGAGACTCACGACCTACACAAGTCCAATGTGCTTGAGAGACCCAAAGTAATTTACAACGACAAGACTGGGAAATACGTAATGTGGATGCATATTGACGATGTTAACTACACAAAAGCCTCGGTGGGTGTTGCTGTCAGTGATTACCCAACCGGTCCCTTTGATTATCTCTACAGTAAACGGCCACACGGGTTTGAGAGTAGAGACATGACAATCTTTAAAGATGACAATGGTGTTGCATATCTTGTCTACTCGTCTGAGGATAACAGTGAGCTTCATATTGGTCCGCTTAATGAAGACTATCTTGATGTGAAAAGCGTCTTCAGTAGAATTCTTGTTGGACAACACCGGGAAGCACCGGCTCTTTTCAAACATGGCAGAACATATTACATGATCACATCCGGCTGCACTGGTTGGGCTCCAAATGAGGCTCTTGCTCATGCAGCCGAGTCCATTTTGGGCCCTTGGGAGGCCATGGGAAACCCATGCATTGGTGGAAACAAGATATTTCGACAAACAACATTCTTTGCTCAAAGCACATTCGTGCTTCCTTTCCCTGATCTCCCCGGTTTTTTTATCTTTATGGCAGATCGGTGGAATCCAGCTGACCTGAGGGACTCGAGGTACGTATGGTTGCCTTTAATTGTAGGAGGAGCCGTGGATCAGCCTCTCGAGTACAATTTTGGGTTCCCACTGTGGTCTAGGGTGTCAATATATTGGCATAAAAGATGGAGGGTCCCTTATAGGTGGAGTGACAAGTATTGAGATACCATATATTTTTGCTCTTTGAATGTTCTTTCTTCAATCCTTGCAAGTCTTTGTATTGCAGAGAATAGCAATTAGGTGTATATTGTCGAAATCATAAGAGACGCCGCTTTTAAATGCAAGTTTATCATCTTCACAAAAATCTATCGAGATCAAGACTCGACACGCATGAATAAAATATATAATGTCTCTCTTCTGGTTTCAAATTTTACTAGTAGCTATGTAGTCACCATCCATGCCCAAAAAAGGAGTAACAATTGGTTCTAACAAAAGAGAAGAAATTTTGAAAAGATGTCCCAAATACAATTTAATGGAAAATATAAAAATATGAAAATTTCTTCAAATTTCACCTGGTATGGTCAATGTTCAAATCAAAGCTTCAATTAAAAAAAAGAAAAAGAAAAGAAGGGACCGTGCCATGCATCTCTGAGTGTAAAAACTAAAAAGATTATAATATAGAGAGTGTTTGTTGAGGATTGAAATTAGATTTTTAATAGATTGTGATAAAAATTTTTGAAATGTGTGATTGAAAAATTGTGGAATTCATGAAAGACGTGGTTAATATTGATTGTTTGAATTAAAATTTGATTTTAATCCGGATCAAACAGGGGCATAATATGTAATTAAAAATTAAATAAAAAGAAGGAATAAAGGTAGAAAGTGGAGGGGGCAAGTCTCATCAAAAGAAACCATGAAAAGAAGTTCCCACTACCTATAACATAATTTTTCTTTTTAAGTGGGCCTAAAGTAAACACTTTTTTCCCTTAATGTTACGACACCAACGCGTCACAATGTGTATTTTATTCAAATTAATGTCCAAAATTCCATCTTGAAAGTGGTGGGCCAATGCTGTCTCTCTGGCTTCAAGTTTAATTTCACAATATTTGGTAATTCAAAGTAATGGATTTTTTTTGAGAATATAATTTTTTTTTTTACTGATCTACGTGTAAAATTATTCTATTTGAAAAATATGTGATTTAAAATGAATTTTAAAAAGTTATAATAATTATGTTATTTAATCGTATCGAGTAAGGTCTTTATCGAATTTCTTTCAATATTATAATAAGTTGGTACGAGTTCACACCAAAATTCTCTCTTAAATGGTCTTTTATTTTTATAAAAATTATAGAATTATATATGAAAGAGACAATTAAATCAATAATATCATTAATTACTAAACAGCTTTTGATATAATCCCAAACAATACCCAACTCAATGGCCGTCCTAAGATTCTATGGTCCCATACAAGATAACGACCCTTACCAAGTGTTTTAACTAAAATAAATAAATTTTAAACCTTTAATTTTTAGCTGTCATGACATCACTTGTAATTGCTGCTGATGCCATTAATACCAACTCCATTAAATCAAACTAACATATATTTTATATTTATTAAAACTTAAATTTCAAATCATAAGAGGTTGAACTAACATGCATACATAAGTACACACAACTAGATTAAGGGTCTGTTTGGTACGGCTCAAAATCCAATTAAAATTGAAAATATAGTCGTTATTGAGTCTCACTCATCTAATAAAAGTCAACAATAACGATTAATTTTTCAATTTTAATCCGATTTTAATCTCTACCAAACACCCTCTAAGCTCTTGTTTGACACCGATTAAAATATAAATTTTAATTTCATTTAAAGTCAACAATTAATTTTAATCATATATTTCATTAAGTTCTATCAAAATTAATATATTAAAAATTTAATTTTAATTCCCACCAAACAGAGTCTAAGAATCTATTTAATTGAATATTATTGGATCAAATGATATTGACATTGCATCTAATTCAAGAAAGACTTCTCATTTCTTAGTAAAAAGTAGTCGTGCACATGTTTAAGACAAAGTATTGGATTGATGTGATTGCACGTTACAGTAAATAAGATTTTAAGTTTTTGTCAGCTAACATTACATGGTACGACCTAATGAAAAAATCATGTGATCCTTGTCCAAAGTTCAAAAAAACAATCTTTGAAGATAACAAAAAATCACAATATGGTAACAAGATTAATAAGATCTGTTACTTGAAATTTTTTGAATTAAAAGAAAACAAACAATAATACCTTTTGAGTTATCCTCCTTTCAACAAGTTAATTCACCAACTAAATAAAACTATTCAAATCCCATGCACTTTGCGAACACACGTTATACAGTTCATGTTCAATCTGGCTTCCATGCGCTAGCCCACACCACCGGCTGATCCTTCCACGAAAGGAATATTCCGGCGGAATCTGAGCACTGTGCCATTGACCAGCCCTCCTTGTACCTCCTCAACAAAGCGCGTACATCATCACACACTTCATCACTGAATGAAACTGGGCTATAACCCGCCGCATGAAGACGATTTGACCAGCGCGTGGCCGTCTCTCGCCGCTCGATCGACTCCGCCGGAGGGCAAGCTACCAGGTCAACCACCGCTCTCCCGGCAGCCCTCTCCAGCATCATACGTTCATTGCTTGTTTTCGGAAAGCTTTCGTCTAATGACTCAAAGTAAACTCTAAACCATCTTAAACATTCTTCAAATCCCCTAACAAATTCAAAACCATCTGCACCTATATCAAAATCAGCTTCTTCTTCAACAACAGTGATAATTCTAGGTGATAATCTTCGAAACATGGACATCAAAAAGTCCCTACGATTACCAATTGTTGTAACGGAACGTAAGGCACCTACACAATTTATAGCAAGTGCTTCATCTTCTTTAATTTCCATTTCAGCTAAATTCAGTTCTGATAAATCACCTGCATGGTGTATTATATTGAACTTAAAGGGCACACCCATAAGTCTAGCAAACTTTTCCATTCTACTTCCTATCTCTTTCATCACCTTCTGTACTGCAGCCGCACCTCCGTTGGTGTCGCCACCTTTTCCGGCTACCACCGTCGTCAGCCGCAGGCGAGGGGTTTCATCTGTGCGAGTGGCAAGTGCTTCAAGCAAAGTAGGCCACTGTGTGCAATACGTATTGCTTATATCAATTATATGTAACTTGCTTTCACCATCAAGAGCCTCCAAAATTGCACCATTACTAGCAACATGCCCAAACATAGTCCAAGGACTCACCTCCTGGAATTTCAATACCATTTTTCTTGTGGAATCAAAAGAGCAATTCTTCTGGGCAGCGGAAATTGAAGTTCTATAAGTACGATCACCGGAATCCTTCATGCGGCTAAATAATGCTTGTAGGAAGTAAGAAGCAAGCCTTTGATCGATGTCGCCATAGGGTGAACTTAGCTCATTGAGCATCCACATAAGCTGCTGAACACGAGCACTGTTTCTATGAGCAATGGCTTTCGCGGTCTCGAGGAGGATATCAGAAGCCCACTTGCTGTTATTACCAGAGAATAATGGTGCAAACTCAAGATTTATGTCGTTTGTAAAAGAGGAAGAGAATTGATCAGCTGATTGATCATAACTAGGAAGATGATGATGAGTTGGGGTGGCGCCGCCTCCGCTAGTGTTGGTGGTTGTGGGAGTGTTTGAGGTCTGCTGCTGTTGATAGGGATGATAGTGTCTTGAAGAAGAAGAAGAAAAGTCTTCTTCATCCATGAAAACGTTGATGCATTCTTTATCTTCTTGGTAATAAGGGTATTGTCTAGAAGATCTAGAACTGCTTGACGTTCTACTAGAATAATCCAAAGACTGATCAGATTGAAGACTGACTAGTCTAAACAAAGTATCCATCTAATCAAAAGACCCACATCAAGAAATAAAAATAAAAATCGAACCTTTGTTTGATTCTCTTCAGTGGGTTGTTGGTGCGATTTGTTTTAAATTAGGGTAGTAGAGAGAATTAAGAGGGGGGGATTGAGGATCTTCGAGTTGGGATTTTGCTAGGTTTTTAATTAGTACAAACACACAAGAAGCATAATTAGAGAGAGAAGAATCTGATTGAGTAAAAATATACTTTTCTTTTGATGGAATCGATGGAGGAGAAGGGAAATAGTGCGAGTGGGTTGTGTTTTTCCTCGTTATTCTTTTTGAGGTTGTTCTTGAAGCAAGGAGGGATTCAGATTGACTAAAATAGGTTTTGCTGTTAAAACATAGAGGTTGGCATGGAGTGGATGGTGTTTAGATATATAGAATTGTCTGACAAAAGATGTAGGCAGTGAGCAAAAAGATAAATAAAGTCGAGTTCATCAAATGGGCTTAGTGGATTAGCTTTTTCTTTCTACTATGTGCTCTGTGTGTGTGTGTGTGAGAGAGAGAGAGGTAAGAGGTGGGGGTTATGTCATTGTTAGTGAATTATTTGATTCATTTTAGTTGTAATTATTAAATAGTTCTTATCACCAATTTAGGTGCTTTGGTGCTAATGCTAGTGGGTTGCTCGATTCTTCGTTTAATAGAGTTGTGATTATGAACACAATTTAGCCCCAGTTCGTGGTAGCCCAAAATCAAATTTTTAGTAGATTTTGATAAAAATTGATGGAATGTGTAGTTGAAAAGTTGTGAATCCCTTGAAATGTGAGATTAAAATTAATTACTGACTTTGACTTGAAATTAAAATCAGATTTTAATTTGTACCAAAGTCTGAAGAACAATGCTTGGGCTACATAATTATTTTTACAGGGGTTTTACAGATAACACACATGATGGGGTCCGTGATTTTTTTTTTTTTATAGTACATGTGGGGCACGCCCCACTGTGAGGGGCCTGTAAAGCCTCTGTGAAACTATCCCCTATACATGGAGAATTATTCTAGTCTGAATAACAATGAACTTCTTGATTCATCATCCAAATCATAAAAATGCACTACAATTCCATTAGACAATAAGAGCATGTTTGGCTAAATTTAAAATTCAATTAAAATTGAAAATATAGCCATTATTTGGTCTTATTCGTTTAATAAAAGTCAACGATAAAAATTAATTTTTCAATTTTAATATCTATCCAACTCGCCCTAAATTAGATGATCCCATTTACACGAGCAACATAAGACTTTCCTAGTGTGTGTGAAGGAGAAAGGGAAGGGGAGGGGAGGGGAGGGGTGGGGCAAATAAGTTTAAAGTAAGAGAGAGAGAGGGGAGAGAGAAAAGCTGCCAGCGTGCATGATGATCATCAAATCCACCACCACCCCACCCAACATAACCATTCATTCACATTCCTTGCCTCCTAATCCATCACCAAAATCTGCCAAAATTCCTTACTTTTTTCCTTTTTTATACTTGTACAAAAACCCATATATACCATATATTATGGAGGTTCTTGCTTTTCACTTTCCTCTCACCCATGTATCATCCCTTCGATTCTTTACCACACTCGAACCTATTAGCCTATTGTTCTATCTTTACTCTTCATAAATAATAGGCCTACTCGAATGTTTTCTTTCCACGAGCAAAATAATTCTTGCTAATCCTTACCTAGAAATGTCAAGATGGAAAGATTAGATTTTAGATGAAGCTCGACAATCAACCTGTTAATTTTAATCCATAAACTCGAAGTTAAAATTGAGCCATCGTGAACTTAGGCGAACCAACCCACGTATAAATGTCGCAAGGGTTTTCGGTTATAAGATCAATTTAATTAATTCTTGCTGTTTTTGTAGGCATTATTCTCGCTAGCAGGCTACATATTCTCCTATATATATATATCCATTTGTATTTGGTACACAGAGAGAGGCACTAAATGAAATTCTCAGGACAATGCTTAATCTTTTAAAATTTTGGCTTTATTAATCATCAATCATTGGACACTCTCTCTTTGGACTGTTGTTGTCCTTTTTGAGAATCGAGTATTAGGCAGTTCTAACCAGGACAAATTATAGAAGACAATAGGTTAGAAGGTCCATTGTCTCCTTCAATCCAATAAGTCCAAAAGCTATTGTCATCATCCAGCATTGAAGAAAAGGAGGGCAACCTGGTCATTGCACCAGTCACTTTAATTTGAAAAATAAGCAACTTAAAATTTTATATTTTTAAGCACAACAAAATAGGCTGTAGATGATGTGACCTGCATCTGAACTAACATGAAATTTTTCTATAGAACTTCCTGTTGTCACTTCTAAAATTATATTCAAATCAACTGAAATTAATTATTTTAACAATTATGTTATACGTACAGAAAAAATTTGACATAATTTTTACAGAAAAACACAATTTTTCATTGATTTTCGACACAACAATGATAGAAAATGGACCATACAGACACTAACACGTGTATTATTTCCGTGACAGGGAATTATTCTTATTTTAGTCCTGGATGCTGCCGATCAAGCACCAAACTATATTATTTTTTAAGAACGAAAAGTTCATCAATATTTGAAAGTGATAATGGAATAGAAAAAATGTTAATCGCTTTCCTATACATGTCGATAGACCTAATGGATTGCAACATTAAAATAAAATTACTAAATTAATTTTATGGACATTATTACACGTCTGTATGCATATAAGGTTATGTTACTAAATTATAATCTTTATTTCACGGTTCATATCACTCCGTGCCACTTAAATTTGTATTATAGCACTATTTCTTTAAATTAACACTAATTAACATAATTGAATAATTAATAAGCCATGAATTAGAAATAGACTATGACACCCCCGTCCATATTGAGTTTCAGGTTCCAGATTCGTTTCCATGTTAAAAGATCAATCAAAACTTTTATATATTGATCATCGTTTTCATCTTACGTGATGTAGTGGCTCATTGATGACATCATTATTAAAATCTAATTACTCGTTTGAGTTTTAGATAGATCGAATTGTTAATTTGAGTATGTTGGACTACATAACTTCATTGATTTTTTGGGTTGTATCATTGTTAAGATGAAGTGATACAAACCCTTGTCTATTTACCATTATTATTGTTGAGACCAAAAAATGGAAATTGGTTGTAAAACATTTGATTATTAGTGCATGACAATTATACCACTACAGCTTTAGTTTTTATTACTACTAGTCACAGCTAAACGTGCGTTGCACGTTATTTTGAAATACTTTATAAACAGTGAAAAAATGATATTTGAAAATCGGTGAATTTAAAAAATAGTTACAAAAACTGTTTATGTAAAATGAACTTTTTATACAATTCAATTATTTATTTACGTGTATGATAATAATTAACATTAATTTATATATATCCTACTATAATCCAATCAATTAATTCTTCAAATTCATGCATGTACACTTTATATATTTTGGGAGCTATTCAATTATTGTAGAAATACTACAATTCAATTATTTATGTATGTGCATGTATACTAATTAACATTTATTTATGGATATATTAAATATAACATTGAGTAATCAAGTTCTTCTACACATGTTTTAGGAGCTATTCAATTATTCTAGGAGCAAACAAATTATTCAAGTTGAACACATATTTATTTTCAAGATTATTCATTTTATCATAAATTATTATAGGAGTATGTAAATTATTAAAAATCATGTAATTTGGGAGTTATTCAATTATTATAGGAGTAGATAAATTATTCGAGTTCATGTACATTTATTTAATTTCAATATTATTCATTTAATCTATGAGATAACACCATTTGTCTAAATGTATATAAATTATTTCTTTTTCTATATTAATTGATTCAAATTAATTAAATTTCACGTTGGATCATGTACACCCCATTTGTTTAAATATATATAAATTATTATTTTTCTATATCTATTAATTCAAATTAATTAAATTTCATGTTTGTTTGCTTGCACCTCCCTTTGTTTAAATGTATATATATTATTCTTTTTCTATATTCATTGATTAAAATTAATTAAAATTCCATGTGCATGAATCAATTTGATTGTTCTCGTACAATTCAATTATTTATTTACGTGCATGTTTAATAATTAATATTCAATTAAATATACATTAAAAACGAAAAGTAAGGTACTATTGAAATAATTAAATTGTAGTAGAGATAAAATCATTTAGAAGATAATTCTCACTTGATGTGATATTGAATATATTAAAATTTCATGTTCATGAATCAATTTGATTGTTCTTATACAATTCAATTATTTATTTGCGTGCATGTGTAATAATTAATATTCAATAAATATATATTGAAAAACGAAAAGTAAGGTACTATCGAAATAATTAAATTGTAGTAGGGCTAAAATCGTCCAAAAAATAATTCTCACTTGATGTGATATTTAATATATTATAGATTATATTCATAATTCTTCCCAATAAATTTGTGACATTGACTCTCAATATAATACACAAATTTTTATTTACTTCTTTATTTTCTTATCTTTTCTCTCTAGCTTATAACAAAATCATATTTTAAAGCCAACAATCAAGTTTTATACCTGAATTTAAGCAGAATTTCATCTCTTTTGGGGAATTTTGTATATGTTTAGGCCAATTGTTTGTAGAAAGGAGAAAGAAAACACAGTAGACGCTATTGTGGCCAAAAAGTGTTTTTCGATTGGAGAATATTTGAATTTTCGAGAGTTGCGAACCATAATTTGTTTTGATCCAACGTGACTTTTATGATAGGGGAATTTGGGTTTTAGATTTTCAATCTGATATAAGATGGTATTAATAATTATCCACGATGGTCAATTACTTAATATACACCCCTTGTAGAGCACCACATCATAGGTCGTCGGCCCCCAAGAGGCCCTCTATGTTCATATAGGTCGTCTGCCACTATGAGGCCGTCGCCCCCATGAAACCCTCTACCTTTACACATGGCCGCTTACCACCATGCAGCCAATACTATATTTTAC